CACACGCAGAATTTCAAATATTAAGCATTTTTTATATGTCTCTTTAATATATTAAGTTGTTAATTATTGTATTTTATTGTACATTTTGAACCTAATTTTTTAATAATATATATGTTATTTGCCATGTCCCAATTTATGTGGCATTAATTGATAGATTTGTTGGAGTCGAGAGATTTATTTTGTTAATTATTGTAATTTATAGTTTTTTTTTTCCATCAATTTCAAACAATATATGTTGTTAATTGATAGAATACTTTTAATGTAATTTTTTTAAAAAAATATGTGTGACTCTCCATGTCCCAATTTATGTGGCACATGTAAAGTTTTGACAATTAACCAAAATTTTAATACATTTAAAAAAATATTTTTAAGTCGTTAAATTTTAAGTAATAAGTAATTTAAATTGTTGTATTATTTATTACAATTTATAATACTTTTAAAGTAGTTTAAATATTGTACTATTTATTATGATTTATAACACTTTTTTTTAAAATTTATGTCATATTATGGAATTTGAGAAGTTATTGAAATTTTTATATGATTTTAAAAATATTTTAAATTGTTAGCTATTGTGATTTGTAGTACTTTTTTTAACATAATTTTGAAAATAATATTTATTAATCTATTTGTTCTAATTTATGTGGCAGATGCAGAATTTCAAATATTAACCCTTTTTTATATGTCTCTTTAATATATTAAGTTGTTAATTATTGTATTTTATAGTACATTTTGAACCTAATTTTTTAATAATATATGTTATTTGCCATGTCCCAATTTATGTGGCATTAATTGATAGATTTGTTGGAGTCGAGAGATTTATTTTGTTAATTATTGTAATTTATAATTTGTTTTTCGTCAATTTCGTCGACTATTTTTTTTATTAATTATTGTAATTTATTGTTTCTTTTTCGTCAATTTCAAACAATATATGTTTATCATATAATCCATTTTATGTGGTACCAATAGAATTTAGAGAGTCAATTAAATTTTGTATATAAGTTTTAAATAATTAAGCTGTTAATTATTGTAATGTATAGTATTACTTATATTATTTTTAAATATATTTAAATATTATATGTTAGGTTTTTTATCCTAATTTATATGGCATTGATAGAATTTAAAGTGTCAAATAATTGTTAATTATTGTAATAGATAATATGGAGTATTTAAGTCATTTATAGTATAGTATAATTAATATATAATATGTAGTATTTAAGTGTTATATTATGGAATTTGAGAAGTTATTGAAATTTTTATATGATTTTAAAAATATTTTAAATTGTTAGCTATTGTGATTTGTAGTACTTTTTTTTACATAATTTTGAAAATAATATTTATTACTCTATTTGTTCTAATTTATGGGGCACATGCAGAATTTCAAATATTAACCCTTTTTTATATGTCTCTTTAACATATTAAGTTGTTAATTATTGTATTTTATAGTACATTTTGAACCTAATTTTTTAATAATATATGTTATTTGCCATGTCCCAATTTATGTGGCATTAATTGATAGATTTGTTGGAGTCGAGAGATTTATTTTGTTAATTATTGTAATTTATAGTTTCTTTTTCGTCAATTTCAAACAATATATGTTGTTAATTGATAGAATACTTTTAATGTAATTTTTTAAAAAGAATATGTGTGACTGTCCATGTCCCAATTTATGTGGCACATGTAAAGTTTTGACAATTAACCAAAATTTTAATACATTTAAAAAATATTTTTAAGTCGTTAAATTTTAAGTAATAAGTAATATAAATTGTTGTATTATTTATTACAATTTATAATGCTTTTAAAATAGTTTAAATATTGTACTATTTATTATGATTTATAACACTTTTTTTTTAAAATTTATGTCATATTATGGAATTTGAGAAGTTATTGAAATTTTTATATGATTTTAAAAATATTTTAAATTGTTAGCTATTGTGATTTGTAGTACTTTTTTTAAACATAATTTTGAAAGTAATATTTATTACTGTATTTGTTCTAATTTATGTGACACATGCAGAATTTTAAATATTAACCCTTTTTTATGTCTCTTTAATATATTAAGTTGTTAATTATTGTATTTTTTAGTACATTTTGAACCTAATTTTTTAATACTATATGTTATTTGCGATGTCCCAATTTATGTGGCATTAATTGATAGATTTGTTGGAGTCGAGAGATTTATTTTGTTAATTATTGTAATTTATAGTTTCTTTTTCGTCAATTTCAAACAATATATGTTGTTAATTGATAGATTTTTTGGAGTGGACTATTTTTTTTATTAATTATTGTAATTTATTGTTTCGTTTTCGTCAATTTCAAACAATATATGTTTATTATATAATCTATTTTATGTGGTACCAATAGAGTTTAGAGAGTCAATTAAATTTTTTATATAAGTTTTAAATAATTAAGATGTTAATTATGTAATGTATAGTATTACTTATATTATTTTTAAATATATTTAAATATTATATGTTAGGTTTTTTATCCTAATTTATATGGCATTGATAGAATTTAAAGTGTCAAATAATTGTTAATTATTGTAATAGATAATATGGAGTATTTAAGTCATTTATAGTATAGTAATTAATATATAATATGTAGTATTTAAGTGTTATATTATGGAATTTGAGAAGTTATTGAAATTTTTATATGATTTTAAAAATATTTTAAATTCATAACTATATATTTCAATGTACAAGATTTTGATAAAATAAAATCTTTAAAGTTAAATTATAATGTTTTTGAAATTTAAATTATTAAAACATATATAATGATTTTATAGAAAAAATAATATCATATGAAATTAAATGAAAAGGATAATAAATTCAACTTTTACCATGATAAGGTTGAAAAATATTATTTAAGTGGAAGGAGGTGGGGCCCACTTATATATTTTATATAGTAAGTATTGGACATTTGTAATGATTTAATTGGAACAATGATAGTAAATCCTAGACTCTTCTAATAGTAAATATATATAGTAACATGTATTATATATTAATTTATTAATTTAATGCAAATATCGATCAATTACCGACAAGTTTTTATCAAAAGGTACCTGAGTTCCTATAATACTCATTTTTTGTTGATTTTCAAAGGGGGTCTGTATTTGGACAATTTAAATATAAATCATTTTCATGACAAATAGCCCTTTTTTCTTAAGGTTAATGAATCCTTTACTAGATCTCCATATTCCCATTTTATTCTTTGATACTACTTTTAGATAATATATAAATAACCCAACATGATATGTATATTTTTGTTTATATGAGCTTACTTATATGGCTGGTCTCAAGCTTGAGTAAAGAAGGAGAATCGTTGAGGGTTGATTGGATATAATTTTTATTTTATAAGATAAGAATAAGATTACGTATATCTTATATTTCTCAGATATATACACTCGTAAAATTACTTTGAATTTATTGTGGTATATATTTAAAAAATTTAATGGCTATTCCTATGAAATGCCAGAAAAATATTAATGTGAACTATGAAGTAGCAATTATGATTTATCTTTAATTAAACTGATTCACATGAATCTCTCCTAAAGTGATTTCTTTCCTTTCAGGACCAGAAATTGCATCACAAAATCAAATTGATATAAAACACGCAACTCAAATTTGATGATTCATCATGTCACTCTAGTAGTAGGCTAATAGCTATAATGTAAGCAATGGTCAGTTGAACGTCCTTCGTTGAAAATTATTTTATTTTTTTTAATTTTTTATTCGATGTTTGTTATTTATATTGGCCTATTGGGACCACTTTTGTTGCGTTATTGGTGACCACACAAGGCTATTTAAAAGGTGAAACATTCACTATCCAACTTTTTTCATATTCAAGAGTTAAATTCAAAATTTCTAATTAAAAATGATCATATTAATTAATATATTAAATATTGAATACCCTTAACGAAATTTTTGATTTCTTCAGACTAAATTCTTCCTTCTATTGAAATTTCAAGATTCTAGTTAATTTGTTTTTTTTTTTAAATCCCAAGTTTTCAAACAATACGATGTGGTGGCTTAAGTTTGGGAAACATTCAAAATTCCCTAAAGTAGGATAGAACTTAAAAATCTTTGTTGTTTTTTTCATTTAATCATCTAATGTTCAATATTTATTTTATAGGTTCAACATACTGATTTTGATTCACTAAAACATCTAAGTTGGAGATAAAATACTTTGGATAAAAAATAATTTCATTTGTATACTTCGAGTTCGATACTTCTAATTAAAATGTTTGATAAATATTTTAAAATATTGATCTAGAAGTTGATTATCAAAAGAATAGTAGGAAAAGTCAATAAAACTTCTTGGTTGCAGTCATCATTCAAGACTTGTTTGACCTGGCCGCCTTGATATTAGACCACGTGTCCTTTTTGCACATTATTTTAATTATCTCTAAAATTAATCACAAGAAGCCATAAAATAATTCCAAAACATCCTCCTTGGTCACTCTTTTATTTTTGTTCTTTTTCTCACTTATAAAGTTTTCATTTTATTTTATTACTTTCTTGTGATGATAAAATAAGACACCAAATACTTAGAAAAGAGTTTTAACTTATATTTGAGTTCTTAGTCAAAATTGACGAAATTAAATGTAAATTATTTTACTCTCATATTTTAATTAAAATAGGTCAATTAAAATAGACAATACAATATAAGTTGTTATTTCATCTTTGAGATATATACGCAAAAAGTGTGAAGATATTTTTTCTGTTATTAAGTCAATTCTTTTCTAATATAACAGATAATATACCTTATTTTGATTACGATTCAATTGTATTATTGAATGTTACTTGATTTGATAGTATAAAATTTTCAAATTTATAACCAATGTAGATTTTCTTTGTGGGCCCTTCCTACTTATATATATGGATATAAAAAGAGGATCAAGCCTCAATAACTTCTCCTCATAATGGACTACTACTAAACCAAGGTAGTCACCTACTTCTTTTCAAATCTTTCTTGAAAAAAGAAAAAAGCCAAGAGAGAACACAATGAATAATTCTTCTTCTTCCTCTTCTTCTAATTTTCTCTACAATCTCAATTTCAACACTTCTTCCCTCCCATTCAACATAAATGACTCGGACGAGATGTTGCTCTATGGCCTTCTCGCACAAGTTGACTCAGACACTACCACCTTAGTAACAAATAGTACTCCCATGGCCGAGTCAACACCTTCATCAAAGGAAAAGAATTATAGAGGTGTTAGGCGTCGGCCATGGGGAAAATTCGCGGCGGAGATTAGGGATTCAACTAGAAATGGAATTAGGGTATGGTTAGGGACATTTGATAGTGCTGAAGATGCTGCTTTGGCATATGATCAAGCTGCTTTTTCAATGAGGGGTACAAGTGCAATCTTGAATTTTTCAGTTGAAAGAGTTGTTGAATCTCTACATGAAATGAAATTTCATGTTGAAGAAGGTTGTTCACCTATTGTGTCTCTTAAGAAGAGACATTCTATGAGGAAGGAAAAATTGAACAAGAAAAATAAAATCAGTAGGGAAGTTGTAAAAGATGAGAGTAATTATAATGTTAATATAGTAGTGTTTGAAGATTTGGGTGTTGATTATTTGGAACAACTTTTGAGTTCAAGTGATCATAAAAGTACTAGTAATGATGATTGCCGAGAGTCGTGGTGGGATGAATAAGATCTCTTCACTTTTTTAATCAGAGATTCTGAGTTCGAGCCATGAGAACAAAAAGTTTCACGCGACAGTTCAATGAAATATGAATCTCACATCAGTGAAGTGTGAGAACCCTGAACTCCTTATATGACTTGAGCAATCGCCTTTCCTTATGAGTTAGACCAAAATTCATTTAAAATGATGATATAAATCCATATTAATTGACGTCCCAAAGGAAGTATGTGTACATGGAATGAAAAACAAAAATTAATAGTACTATACTAATGTAACTTTTAGTGCTTGATAAATCACAGGTCCATCCAACATTTTTTTTTTTTTTACATCAATCTCTACCCTACTTTAATTGGAGACCAGTTTGTAGATTTTCCTTTTTGTGAAGATCTTTAGTGATGATGGCATGTTATTGTCAATAACTTCACTGTGATTAAGGTATTGGAAAAACACTTTTTTTAATCATTTGAATTTATTGATTCGACTAATTTAATATTATAAAATTAAAAGTCAATTATGGTGATTTTAGCATTTATAAGAAAGTAGACTTCATTCTTGGATCTTAAACTCAATATTTCTATTTAAGGATATATAAATTAATATTTATCATTCTATCACGCCTTTTGATCATAAATATATACTATTTCCTTGATCCAAAATAATTTGACTTCAAACTTTTCATTTGCTCTTAATTAATTATTAACAACTATGACATGTACCTTTTATCTTTAACTAAAAGTTTTGATTTTGATTTTAACCTTCAAGCCTTGGAAATAAAATATTTCTTAATAAGAAGTGTTTTACTCCTTAATTAATAGATCTGTTAGATATAAATTCAAATTAGTTGGACAAATGAATTCTGAATTCCAGATATTTTTCCAAAGAAGGCCGGCCACGGCCAAGAAAACGCGGTTTACACCTTAGTGGAACTATATGACGTAAATCTAAATTAATTATTTTTGGTCCAAGTCATTAGGCCCACAAATAAATTGGAAGAGATTTCACCTTAAGAATAAGTCCACGGGCCTGTGTTTCTTAAACTTGGTCCAAGCCCAAATCTCGTGAGTTAATGGGCCATTGTATATCATGTGGGCCTGACGCTTTAAGAAATATAATGAACAACTTTCACATATAGAAAACATAAAAATCATATTTATATGTATAACTATAGTTTGCATAATTGCGCTCCATAACAAATTTTATGTTTACTATGAAGTTTTTGATTTGTATAATTCGCTACAAACATCCAATTTATACAAATTGTTCAGTTTTGTATAAATTCATTTATACATTGTAATTTGTTTAATAAGATCTGTATATGTATAATTATAAGTGTATAGACGAAAATATATGTATTTGTATTTGTATACACACTTTTCTCTCGCTTTATACAAACATAAACATATTTTATACATTTTTATATCGAAATGTATAAAATGGCTAATTATATACCGAAAATGGCTAATTGTATACTGAATCAGATTGCAAAAAAAGGGGATGCTTGCTGCAAATTACAATTAAAATAAACTATGACTATAACATTTAATTTGAATTAATAGTTTGCTATTTCATACAATTTTCCCAGTAATAAATTATGGAGTTATATTTAGGGAACTTATAGAAATTCCATTAGTTTAGGAGCTAATTATTAGATACATTTTAGTTTATAATATTACAAATTTTACCATATTATAGTGCATCCAAATACATGTATCTCTAGATACAAGAGATCAAAATTGAGTGTAATTTGTTCTAGATACACTATATTCAAGTGGATTCGTATATACCTTGGATACATAGACAAATCTCGCCCGCCTTCCTCCCATCTTGCTTGTCACTCTCCTATCTATCTGGTATCCCATATATGCAAATCACTCCAGATACTTGTATTCAGTGTGTATCTAGTATGATCGCATGTATCTAGGATACATGACAATCTCCCTCCCTATAATCTCGCTCATCTCTATCCCCTTTTTAAAGTATCTGGTAGCAAAAATACATGTATATAATTGTATTTTTTTCAATATATTATAGGAAACTCTTAGTGATGATAAGATACGTAAAGTATAAACAAAATCAATATATATGATATGGATGTATCAGGTATGTCTAATAAGATAGTTTGAGCTTATATTGAATCAATTATTTTAGACCGATCAGTAAAAATTAAAGATTGAAGCAACTACTTGTAAATAATTGATTAGTTTTATTTTTTTTTCCGTCTACTAGTGTATATTGTTGATATTTTTAGTTCTACGTACTTTACTAATAAACCCTATAAGTCGACAAAATTTAGGAAAATAAAAGAAAAACTGAAAGGTCAAGTCAATATCACTCAATTACAAACAGATTTATTTAATATAAATAAATAGCAAAACCATTTTTCATTTCACAAAGAAGTGAAATAATTACAATAACACACTTGGTCACAAAAAAATAATAATTAAAAATAACAACAAACAAGCTTACACAAAACAAAGAAAAATGAAATTAAACCAACAAAAACATAAAAAAGAAAGGAAAAAAAAATACAAGTGATTTTTCCAAGCAATTGATCACCTCATGCTTCTCCAGTTATAGTTTCTTGTGATGCTTCCTCCAGAGATTTTCCTTTTGACTCTGGCACACAAAATGTACATAACATTCCTAGAGCATTGATACACCCTAGAACAATAAGTGAGTTCTTTATTCCGATACCCGTTGGGTATCCTGCATCAGTTTTCGTTGGATCTTTACTTTGGGCAGCGTATAGGAACCCATACGCTCCCACTATAGCCCCAGCCTTACCTGCAGCTGCTGAAATCCCATGACATGTTGACCGAAGCCTGGCTGGGAAAATCTCAGCCGGGACCACAAATGTAGTCGCGTTAGGCCCAAAATTCGCGAAGAAAAATGTAAATGAGTACATTACGATGAATCCAATACGGTTGGCATCCAACGTCCAATGATGGTAAGGGATGGCGATGGCGAACATGAACACAGTCATGAAGAAGAATCCCATCAATTGGATCGCGAACCTTCCAACAATGTCAATAAACGCCACGGTGAACCAGTACCCTGGCACCGTGCTACAGAGCGCAATTAAGGTTTGCGCTCTGGCAATTTTGTAAACTTCTTGAACAGCATTCATTGTTGGTGCTTTAGGGATCCATCCAACAGCGGAGAACACATCTTTCTGAAACAAATTTTGGCTGTAGAAAGCAATATCTAATAAAAACCATGTGGAACACGTTCCGAATAGGTGCAACCCATGGCGTCTAACGAATTCCCATGAAAACAGACCGAATTGATTAGTTTCATCCCTAGAAATTTGTTCGACTTTTGCTTCATCGCTTTCAATTTCAACTTGTAGTACCCTCCCCATGTCCTGCGCGGCTCTTTTCGCGTCTTTCGCGACTAGAGCCGTGTAACGAGCTGTTTCGGGCATTTTCATGCGCCAGTAGTAAGTGAGGGCAGCTGGCAACGATCCAAACATGAGAATTATACGCCAAATGTAATCGGCTTGTGGTACAGTGGATAGAGCAGCATTTTCCGCGAAAGTGGGGGCCTTATACGCGTGATCGAATCCACCTGCTGTGGCAAGTGCAACTATCCCACTGAACAAAATTCCAAACCCTTGCATAGCGAAAACTGCGGCTATGAAGGCACCACGTGTCTTTTTGTTAGCGTATTCAGACATGATCGTGGCGGATAGAGGGTAATCGCCACCAATGCCAAATCCAAGCCAAAACCTAAAAAAACATAGTGTAGTCATAACACTCTTAGGGGTATTACCGAAGGAGAGCCCTGAAGCAACGGAACACACAACCATGAGAACCAAAGTCATACCATAGACCTTTTTTCGTCCCATTTTGTCGCCTAGCCAGCCGAAGAACAGCTGGCCGGCTAGGGTGCCAACAAGAGCAACACCCGTGACGGAGGCCGCGACGACCGGAGGGAGTGTTCCGGGTTTCAAAAGATCCGGTTTGGTGTAGTATAAACGGCCAAGCAATTTAGTGACAAGAGAAATACTAAAGAGATCATAAGCATCAGTAAAAAATCCCATTCCAGCAATAATAATTGCTGTAAAATGGTAAAGTTGAGTTTTGGCCAAATCAAGTGCATTAAGCACTTGTAGATTATTATCCTCCACAGCCATAATGCCTAAATATTGTGCACTTGTTCCAAAAGTGCAAAATTATCTGCATTTGAAGACACAAAATTAATCAAAAGGAATTAAATTAACCATAAAAAAGAACATGACTGTTAAGAAAAGACCCAAAATCGAACAAAAAAAAAAGTCGATTTTAGCCTTAATATTTCTAAAAAAAAATATATAGTTTAACCAAATTGACCAATTTGGTTCTTTTTTTCGCAAAAAAAAGAAGAATTTAAACAGTAGAAATAAAAATTAAAATCATAGTGTTAAATTAGCAAGCACCAATGGTCTAGTGGTAGAAATTTATCTTATCTCGGTAAATCTAGGTCTTTGATTCTCTGGTGCATTTTATAATTATGTAACGTTTTGACTTTTTTTTTTTGGTAAAATTTTGACTTACTTAGACATCAAAACTTCACATTTAATGGAAAAAAGGTTTAAGATGGCAAGAAAGACTTTCAAAAATTGTGATATTGAACACGTGTAATATTTGTGAGTATAAAAGTTTCTCATGATTAGAGGTAAAACAAAAAGTCTAAAGCTAAACGATTTATAAATATAAAAATGTATTGTTTTTTTCTAAAACAAACTAATATGGAAATAATGTAACATAAATAGAAATGCCATCTACTATATGAACTAGCTAAAATTCAAAAGAAACTAATCATGTATTAACTGAAAAAACTACATTTAAGTTACCTTCTTCTTCTTTTTCTTAAAGATTGTGCACTTAATTTTTGTGACCTTTGGAAAATTAATGGGTTAAACTTAGGGAAAATTGCAACTACTTATAAGGTTTGTTTAACTAATACCATTTCAGACATAGAGAGAATAATCTCCGGAATAATATGGGGATATGCCATTATATCATGTC